TTCTGGAGTCTCCACATGTGCGCAGTAAAAGACAGCACAGCCATTGGTGAACATGTAGCCATCTTCTGTCTGTTTTCTTCATCTGAACGTTGGCCTTGTTACTCCACCCCAGCATATTCACAGGTTTTGCTGCATTACTATTTGCCAGCAGGCTTGACTTTTTATCATTTCTAATAACATTCTATCACTCTATTTAATTTGAATTTGGGGGATGTGAGTATATATATATTGCTATTAATGGGAAATTCTCCAAACCCTGAGTCTTTCATTAGTTCAAAAGCAAAATATAATAGTTTTGAAACTGTACCCAATCTGTAACATATCTGCACTCTGCTGCCATTTACTGTTCATCTTCAAGTTTTCTTAAAAGATCATATAACTTCATCAGATATCATGTTTTTAATCACATGTTAAAAATAGTGGTTTTTTAATAAAATAAATGAATTTGAAAACTCTAGAATAATATCTTAAATGTGACATTAAATACCTATTCAAAGATATAGAATCGTAAGCATTCATGACTAATAAAAGTAAGACACCATTTCCTTGTTCTTTTCTCTCAAATGTATGCTCCATTATATAAGGTTTCCATTATGGTCACCTTCTGGGACCTGGCTTCTGTGCCTTATCATCAAGAAAAATAAAAATATTGAATAAATTCATCTTTAGCTTTGGCCCTCACCACTGTAAGGACAATTTAATTTTAGTTTATTTCTTAATATATTTCTTTTTCAAGATGGGTCTAGCCTCCTGAGGACTTTTTCCTTTTTCTTGCTCCTTTATTCTTTTCTTTCCTTTTTTTTCTTTTTTTTTTTTTTTTTGAGGTAATAGATGAATTTTTAAAAGCCTTGTTTTTTAAATATTTTTTTGTTATACATTGACACAGTGTCTTTATTTTGTTTTGTTTATTTTTATATGGTGCTGAGGATCGAATTCAATGTCTCACATGTGCAAGGCAAACACTCTGCCACTGAGCCACAACCTACCCCAAAAGCCTTGTTTTTTAAAGAGTATAGTTTGGACTACAATAATTTTCTACAGGATGTATATACAGTATGTAGCATAGCTTTTTCTAGGAAGTTAAGATCAAAAGGCTCCAAATATGAGAGTTTTCTTAACTACCCTGTCATTTTCAACATGGAAATGTTAACAAATGCTCATAACTCTTTTATTCCTTTAATTATCAGAAAAGCTATAGTTGAAATTTTGCATTATTGTGAATGACTAGTGATTTTTCTGATATATTGATATATTCACAACTGTGAACTTAATTCCTCAGAAGCACTATTTAGAATCTCTTTAATTTAAGATATTATTCTAAACATTGCCTAAGAAAAACTATGTCTAATTGTTCATCTGTTCCTTTTTAGGGAATACGTTGTTTGATCTGAGCCTGACAATCATGTAGTAAGCTAAGAATACCATAAATTGTAATAAATCAAATATTTTACCTTTTATTTCACCTGCCACAGTGAAACGGACCCTGGCTCCAGGCAGTGGCCCGAGTCTGACACACTCTCTGGCTCCCAGTCCCCACAGTCTGTGGGAAGTGCAGCTGCAGATAGTGGCACCGAGTGCCTCTCAGATTCTGCCATGGACTTGCCCGATGTCACCCTTTCACTATGTGGGGGCCTCAGTGAAAATGGAGAAATTTCTAAAGGTATACTGGGCAGTTATGCCCTTTCTTCACCTCAGAGAGCAGCCTGATCATCACTTGATTTAAAATCTGCCTTTAGCCATTTCAGGGTGTTTTTAGTTCTTCAGTGAACTTGTGTGAGTCTTAAGTGTCTTCCTATAATGTCAGGTCCTTAGACTCTCATTTAAGGTACCTCTTGTGGGGTGGCTTTGGTAAGGGTGTGTACCTTGAAGGCTCTAAATAAGTAGTTGAAAGTTCACAGGGTGCCCTGTTTGCTAATGACCTGGGTCAGATCACATTGCATTGATATTTCTCATCGGTAAAAATCATTCAAATGTTTGTGGGACTGAGACCCAGAATCCCTCCTAGAAAGCAATGGGACTTAGACATGAGGGCTCTGAAGTTGTAGAAAACTGGTGATCCACTGAGTAAATAATCTTTATGGCAAAAAGTAGAAGGTTTACTTTCTGTCTCAGGCTTGAGAGATGGCCAGTGAGGTAAAGCCTGCTTGAGAGTAGGGAAAGATCTTAGCAGAGAACAGATGCCTCTAGGTATGGTGGAAAACTTACATGGGTTTGTCCTACTTTCTTTAGCCTTTTTGGTTTTACCTTCATTTTTAAACCAAACGGTCTTAATGTTTTCTCAGTTTGGCCAAAGGCTCATAATTGATTTTCCTCCAAGGAAATATTTTCTTCCCATGAATCAGCATCATCATTTTAGCATTAGTCTTTGTTTTCTCTCCCCTTCAGAGGAACTGAAAGTGTGATGTGTCAGAATGGGTGTCCAGTGCCCTAGAATCAAGTTTTCCTCAAGTTTCTCTTTTTTAGAGTCACCAAATGCTAATTATGTCTCTTCTCCGTTTCTTTTAAACCCTCAGTTAAATTATGTGAGATGGGATGGAAAATTTTAAAATTTATATAAAATATAATTTTTTTTGTTTTAAATACTGCTAGTTTGGTAGAGTTTGTTATTGGAGGAGGCAGAAATGGCAAGTAAAAATAAATAATATATATATTACCTGGAGGAATAACCCACACAAGAAATTTCTGTCAGTCTGGCTCTACTGGAGTGCAGATTTAGGAACAGGGTACAGAAATTCAAGAAAAAAATCTTCATCCATTCTGTAAGAATTTGGGATTTATTTATTGACAGATTCTGAGCCAAATTCTGAATATGTGATTTTTTTTCTTAAGAATTTATAAAGATGTTTTGATTTTCTAGTATATTATGTACTTAGAACTATAAAAATATTCCCCAATTGTGCAATTCCCTGTCTGTAAAGTTTTCCCTCTGATGAGAATGGAACTTAGTTTTTTAATAATTTATTTGCTTATACTTGTCTTTCTTTCCTTCTTTCTATCCACATCTGTAATCTATTTTCCTAAAAGTCTTTCTCCTGGATTTTCTTTTTCTTTTTTTTTTTTTTTTTTTTTAAACTGGGGTAAGAGGGAGAGGATAAGAAACTATCTTTTCTTCTTAGGGGAAAAAAAAAAGTGACATTTTGCCTTTGATATAAAAAAAATTAGTTTTTTTCTTTTAAGGACTTACTTATTTTAGCCTACAATTCTTACAGTGCAAAGAGGATTGTGTAATTTCTTAATGGATTTATAAACTTTAACCAAATTGATAGTTATTATTTTATATTGCAGAAAAATTCATGGAGCATATCATTACTTATCACGAATTTGCAGAAAACCCTGGACTTATAGACAATCCTAATCTTGTAATTCGTATATATAACCGGTAAGTACTCTTGCTTTCTTGTGTTGAACATCATCATATGAGGGTTTTTTATTTTTTTATATAAGTACTGTTTTTAACTGACACCATTTTTCTTGATATAAAGTTTGTCATCTTATATAAACAAATCAATAGGCAATGACTTTGAAGTGAAAAGTAAGCCTCAAATTTACTTGTAAATGAGACATTGAAATACTGTTGTTCTGTTTCATAGATTTTTACTGCTTCTCTGCTCATAGAAGTTTGACTTAAAGCAAATATTTTTTATGTGAGAAAAATTTAGTTGAGGGGCTGGGGATGTGGCTCAAGCGGTAGCGCGCTTGCCTGGCATGCATGCGGCCCGGGTTCGATCCTCAGCACCACATACAAAGATGTTGTGTCCGCCGAAAAACTAAGAAATAAATATTTAAAAAAAAAAAAAAGAAAAAGAAAAATTGATAATCGATAATCTTTACTAAAAAGAATAAGCAGTTTGATATGTTATTTCTACTTCTCTGTACTCCTCTCTCCCTTACTCCCTTCCCAGCCTCCTTTGCTCCTCTCTCTTACTCTGTGTAATGGTTTTGCACAATTTTTGTTTCTGACAGTTACTATAACTGGGCTTTGGCTGCTCCTATGATCCTTAGCCTACAAGTATTTCAGAAGAGTTTGCCTAAGGTGAGTGATCTACATTTGAGAACTTCTCCAACATCGATTACCAAAAATCTAATGAGAACAACTTTGAGGAGGAAAAGTTTATTTGGGGCTCAGTTTCAGAGGTTCAAATCATGTTCAGCCAACTCCATTGCTTTGGGTCTGTGGTGAGGCTGAACATCATGGTGTAATGGTGTGGTGGAGGAATGTTGCTCTGTTCATTAGAGCCAGGAAGCAGAGAGACAGGAAAGGGCCCGGGACAGATCAAAGTCCAAAGGCAGGTACTCAGTGACCTATTTCCTTCAACCATGCCCTATGTACCTACAGTTACCACAAGTACTCCATTTAAATTATTAATTCATCATATGGATTAATTTATTAATGAGCCTATAGCTCTCATAATCTGATCATTTCACTCTAAAAATTCCTGTTTTGCCTAATACATGAGCTAGGGCAGCATTAAAGATCCAAATTCTAACACTTATATTTCTGAACAGATACAGTTCAAAGTTTTATTAATCTAACATAAAAGATCCACATTGCTATATGTGCCTACCAAAATTACCTTTTGCCCCAAATCTGGGAAATTACCTGGGCTGCACTTTTTTGTCATCGTAATTAGATATTTATGCCAGTTTCTGATTATATATTTGAAGTTCAGAAATTTGAGTTGGCAATGTAGCTTAGAGGTAGAATGCTTATCTAGTCTGTGGGAAGCCCTGGGTTTGATCCCATCACAGGGGGGAAATAAAAGTTTAGAGACTTTATTAATTGTAAATTAAATATGAAATGAATAGGAGGGGGAAAAATCTTCCCCTCATTAATACAGGAAGAAACAGCTTTCAAAAGAAGGGGAGGTGACCAGCAAAAGCATGACATCAGTTTGGTGTGTAGTTGGGTCAGCTTATGGCTGGTACACCTGTTAATTTAGAACCTCAAAATTTGTTTTTAATCTGTTCTCCATGAAGATATCATTAGCCTAGTCAGTCCTCATATCCTCATATGTTCCAAAGTTGATGAAAAAGAACTGCTGGCCTAAAGTCTTACATAGCTAGACCACCAGACCTCCCACCACAAAGCCTGCTGCCACCAAAGTTGGACCTTTTTCATCTTTAAAGGGTATTAAAAACACTAGAGGGCTGGGGTTGTGGCTCAGCGGTAGAGCGCTCGCCTAGCACGCGCAAGGCCCTGGGTTCAATCCTCAGTACCACATAAAAGTAAGTAAATAAAATAAAGGTATTATGTTCAACTACAACTAAAAAATAAATATTAAAAAAAAAAAAAAAAAAACACAACACACTAGAGGAGGGCTAGGATTGTAGCCCAGTGGTAGTATGCTTGCCTCACACGTGTGAGGCACTGGGTTCGATTCTCAGCACTGCATAAAAATAAATAAAGGTATTGTGTCCATCCTCAACTTAAAAAATAAATAAATAAAAAATACTAGAGGAGTTTGGGAGGTATGGAGAACATCACTTACTTCCAGAAAAAGGCACTGTCTTGCAGGCCAGTTTTATAAGTCGGGTGCTTTATAACCAACAGATTGACCAGGCTGACCTAAATTGATTATTTCCAGGCCACTGTTGAGTCCTGGGTTAAAGACAAGATGCCAAAGAAATCTGGCCGCTGGTGGTTTTGGCGGAAGAGAGAAAGCATGACTAAGCAGGTAATAGACCTAGCGGTAATCATTTCCATGGGCTGAGAAAAAGTGGACCATGTGTTCAAAAAACCTTTATCACATACAAGAAAGTACTCTTACATAGGTTCTTTTGCCATTTTTGAGCAGTTAATGCATGAATGTGCTGTGAGGTGCTTTGCCTATGTTACCTACAGCCTTTGCTGCAGCTCAGCACCAGAGATGTTTGCATTGCCACTTTACTTTAAGGAAGCTTGGGCATAAAGAGGTGCTATTGTTAAATAAGGTCAAGGCGCTGGTAAGGGATGGAGCCTGGGCTGACCTTGTATGGCTCCAGAGCCAAGGTCCACTTCCTGCATTAGTTTTCACATGTTACAAGCAAAAGGTTATTCTGTACAACTCCACATGCAAATAACCAGAATCTGCTCTTTTAACAAAAGCATCAGAAGAATAGATTTGTCCAGAGAACCACACTAAACAAGCAGTAGATCAAGTCTTTTTTACCCCAAGTCTGATAAACAGGGTTCTGGGATTTTCAACTGTTGTTCTTCAGATATCACAAGGATAGTTCTGCCTGAATCTAGTTCACGTCCACACCAACCACCTCTTCCTCATGTAGGTGCTGAGCTATTTCTAATAGCCAGCTTCAGTCACTTCTATTCTGCAGTCCCCGTGTGTCTGCCAGTGACCTAACAGCTAGTTTGGACCATTATATTTTGTTACTTGGCACCTTTTAAAATGCTTTTGGTTTTACTTCTGGCTCTCTAGAGACAGCTTTTTACACGGCAGTGCATGACTTCTGTCTCAGGTTTTGGTCCTTCAGCTCAAAGTAGAGAAAGTCTGTTTCTCTGTAGTGGGGTTGCAGATTCAGAAGGTTTATTTTTTCCTAGAGAGGGCTGCTGATTAATTTTGGCTTGTTCATAGGGAAAATATTTCACATTGCCATTATTATCTTTCTGTTTTAGCTGCCAGAGGCTAAGGAGGGAAAGTCCGAGGTGCCGCCAACCAGTGACCTACCATCAAGTACTGAAGAGCCAGCCAGTGCCAGGTGGGGTGCCCTCTTCTTCCTCTCACTCACAGCACTTGGGCTGCTCATTTGACCATTACCTAGGAATTGATTGTGGCAATTTTGTTTAATTTTTAGTCAGAAACATCTTTCTCTCGTAGATGAACATGACATCAAGTAGGTCATTAACATCACTCAGCAGATGACAACTGCTTTTCTGAAAAATGTTATCAGCTTAGAGGAATAAATATATTCATTACTACTTCATAAACACCTTTCCTCTGTCACAGAGCCATGATATTATGTGCTGAGAAATATGGGACTTTGGAAGGAATTCTAGGCATTTTAAGAGGTGTTACCCTTGGTGACCTTGTTCTTCCTGCTTCCTGTAGGCACCAAAGGGAGATATAAAAAAGTATCTGAAGGGTTGATTTGAATGTGTTGTCATTTCTTTTGGACATTTGAGTTAGCTGACTCTGAGAAGAGTTGCTCACACTGTATCCTATTCTGATATTTTCCATCTCTTTACTTTCCTTGGTCCAGGTTCTCTCCTCAATCCCTTCTCTAACCCAGCAGTCTAAGTCTAGGAGTTTTATTTTACTCTTTACCCTCTTCTTTGAATGAGTGTATAAAATGTCTTACTACTATTTTTTTTTTTAACCCAGGTTAAGCAGTGTCCAAAATGTATAACCCAGGACTAATCTTTTATTTGTTCCTTTTGAAACATACACATCTTTTACAACAGGAGTAGGTAGACCTGATAGCTTTTACTGGATATAGCAGAAAGTAACACGTGAAAGCCAGAATGTAACTACATGCCAGTTATTAGAAGGAAGAGAAAGGTGGCCTTATCATTATCAATTAGTGATGTACATATTTCAGAGAAACTGGGAAGATGGAAGAAGAAACAACTCTTGCTAACTCTAGAAAGGATTGAGGATATTTGTATTTTCTTAGTCCTACTGAAAAGCTCTTATCAATAAAACTCCCCCTGCTGCCTCTTCCATAACTAGTTTGATGTTAAATAGGCCAGCTGAGGATGACACATCCAGTGATGAGGGGTCACAAGAGCTTGAAGAATCCATCAAAGTGGACCCCATCCCCACAGAGACCATGAGCCACAGCAGCACAACTTCATATAAGAAGTCTCTCCGACTCTCCTCAGACCAGATAGTGAGTCTCTTGTGATCTGTGCAAATCCAATAGGACTTATCTTAGTAACTGTTTAATTTGATGTGCTTCACTTCTGTTTACCTGGTATTAATGGGGTATTCGAGAAGTCCTTGGAAACTACTGGTTTTAATGGGGTATTCGAGAAGTCCAGAACACTACTCAAGCAGTGGCTTTCTTGGTCCATCTTGTGAGCATGCTAAGCTCTGGGCTGGGCTATGTGCTACACCAGACATCCTGCTTTGAGTTTGTTAGGATCCTGAAATGCCAGTTACTGCTTTATAGATTTTTAAACTGTTCCAAACTGAGTTTTCTACTGATTTTTATTCTTGTGCTTTTTATTTTTTATAAAAGGCAAAATTGAAGCTCCATGATGGCCCCAATGATATTGTGTTTAGTATTACAACCCAGTATCAAGGTACCTGCCGTTGTGCAGGTACCATTTACCTGTGGAACTGGAATGACAAGATCATCATTTCTGATATCGATGGAACAATAACCAAGTAAGCTGAAGCTCATTGTAGGTAGCAGAGAGCAACCCTATGCCCAGGGAGGAACAGTTAATGTGCATGGGGGAGAGGGGTCCTTCACCTGCGGCTCTCAGCCCTCAGCTCTAGTGGAGAGTTTTTTTAAGCCATATTTCCTAAGAGATCCTGAATGTAATCCACACATAATCATTTTATGGAGGGAGAATATGGATGGAGCCACACAAATAGAATGTCAAATATAACTTTAGAAAGATGTAGTTATTTGGCCTTCAAACTCATACATTAAAAGAGCTGGGCCACGTGCTGTGGCACACACCTGTAATTCCAGCGGCTCAGGAGGCTGAGACAGGAGAATCACAAGTTCAAAGCCAGCTCAGCAACAGCAAGGTGCTTAGCAGCTCAGTGAGACCCTCTCTCTAAATAAAATACAAAATAGGGCTGGGGATGTGGCTCAGTGGCCAAGTGCCCCTGAGTTCAATTCCTGGTACCCACCCCCGCAAGAAAAAAGAAAATAGCCAGGTGTGGTGGTGCAACCCCATAGTGCCAGCAGCTTAGAAGGCTGAGGCAGGAGGATTACAAGTTCAGAGCCAGCCATAGCAACTTAGCAAAGCCCTAAGCAACTTAGAGAAACCCTGTCTTAAAAATAAAAAGGGTTGAGGATGTGGCTCAGTCGTTAAACACTCCTCTAGGTTCAACCCCTGGTACCAATAATTAAATAAAATTGTAGATTAAGGAGGAGAAAAAGAGGATTTGTGCTTGTAAATTATCTCTGAAAATGAACATCTGGCTCTCGTGTGACCCCACTTTTAGAACACCTCATGATTTTAGAGGGTCTGCCTAGCAAATATAGTGAATCAGCTTTATAGCATATCCTCCTCCCTGCTCCACTACCCAGAGTTTATTAGCTGCTGATCAAAGAGAAAATGAGATGGAAAATTCTTGGCTTTCATATGTTGCATTCCTGATACCTTTTTCTGTTAATACTCTTTTCAGGTCTGATGCTTTGGGGCAGATTCTCCCACAACTAGGTAAAGACTGGACTCATCAGGGTATAGCAAAGCTCTATCATTCCATTAATGAGTAAGTTTCTCTTCCCATGTATCATCCTAGTCTAATGAGATAGAAGTTTGCTTTGCTCAAGAACTATATAAAAATAGCATAAATCATCAGTCCACAATAAATCATGTTATGGTCCAGGCATTTCTGCTCTGCCACCATTCATGGCGCTTGAGCTGTGTGTGCCTGGCACCAACTTACAGGTATTATCTCAGCTAATTCTCACAATGCTGTGCGTTTTGGGGACCACCTGTATAGATCATCATAACTATAATTATTTTTTACCTAGAATATGAAATTATGAATGTCAGTTACCATGTGTAACTTTGCTTCTTACAGAATGATATGCATCCTACAAGTTGTCCTTATAAACAAGATTCTTTGTGTCTTTCCTTTATAGCAGATACGTTAAAGATAGTTGAAGATTTTTGTCCATTCTGTGTTTGGCTCTCATGGACTAGATGCTCTGTGTATTACATCAGTACTTTTAAATTCAGCATAATCTGTGGTCACATATTAGCATAATCTGTATTCACATGTATCTCCATTATTCCCTTGGTGTTTTCCATGGAAAGGTGAAATCATTACAGTTCTAACTAGTTTCTTGCTAAATTCAAAAATCTGATTTTCATAGTATATAAGAACTTTATTTGAATCTATTAAAATAATAATAGTTTTTTTTTTCCTTTTGCCAAAATACCTGGACTACAAAGGATGTGTTTTTGTTTTTATTTTCAGGAATGGCTACAAGTTTCTGTACTGTTCCGCTCGTGCCATTGGCATGGCTGACATGACCCGTGGCTACTTGCACTGGGTCAATGACAAGGGCACAATCTTGCCCCGGGGTCCTCTGATGTTGTCCCCCAGCAGCTTGTTCTCCGCTTTCCACAGGTACCTCTCCAACAAGAATTCTGGGTTTCCCTGTGTGCATGTGGGCAGGGACTCAGAAGAGTATGTGTAAGAACAGATATTGGGCTCTTAGAGGTTGTCAGTCTGTTTCAGAGCTTCTGCATTTCTGTTCTTTGGCTGCCTCAAAGTGTTCTGACTCATAGTCTCTGTCAAATATTGTAATGAAAAGTTTTCTCCAACCCTAAACTCCATCAGATTTTTTTTAATCGTAAGATTTGACTGGCAAAAGAGGAAAAAGAAGTGTACCAGTTACATAGGGTTAAACAAGTAGGGGGCTTGGGGGTGGTGTCGTAGCTCAGTGGAAGAGCGCTTACTGGGTTCGATTCTCAGTACCACATATAAATAAATAAAATAAAGGTCCATTGACAACTAAAAATATATTTTAAAAAAGAAAAAGTGAGGATTTGTGAGCATTAAAATCTTTTCAGGAACACACATTAGGGAAAACTGCCATTTTCAGTTTGATGATTGTATTTTTTGTTCTTAGGGAAGTAATAGAAAAGAAACCAGAGAAGTTCAAGATTGAATGTCTCAATGATATTAAGAACCTGTTTGCCCCATCCAAGCAGCCCTTCTATGCTGCCTTTGGAAACCGTCCAAACGTAAGTGTCTCTAGGCCCAGATTCTGACATAGGCTAAATTCAGATCATTTATGTTGTCATAATTATCAACCCATTTTTGTAAGCAGAATGAAATGTTTGTTCTCTTCAGTATTTTCACTGGATCTATTCCACCTTTCCATGGCAACTGAGGAGGTCCTATAGGGACTTATAGATCTGTCCTAGAATTGTATACAGGATACTCTTTGCTTCTGTAACTTCAATTCCATTTCCCCAGGCAGCTCTGCCTCTTGTCCTTCATGGTTTTAAGCCATGTCCTTGTATCTACCCCAGAACCACAGTGTAAACCCTCCACCCTTTATTAATACTTCCCTGACCTGCCTCCTATCCTTTGGGGCCACCACATCTCAGATGTACCGAAGGTGTTACTTCTGAATTTATCTTACACTCAAAAGGCCTTGCTTCTCCTTGGCTGCCCAAGTTTGCTTGATTCCCTCTACACCCTCAGGTGGCACCACACACTAGCTTGGGTTTGTCTAAAGCTCAATTCAGAGGCAAAATTATACTGCTCCGCACCACATGTTTCTGTAGAGTCTTCTATTCATGCAGTGTTTCTGACTCACAGTAACTAGTGAAGCTTTTCCTAACATCTTCTCCATGTTTTCTTCTGCAGGATGTTTATGCTTACACACAAGTTGGAGTTCCAGACTGTAGAATATTCACCGTGAATCCTAAGGGTGAATTAATCCAAGAAAGGACCAAAGGAAACAAATCATCGTAAGTGCATTCCTAATTCTCAGCTAGCACCATACAGCAACAGTTGCAGCTGGGAATAGATAATAACTGAAATTAGACCTATCTTGGAGGATCAGAGAGCTGTTCCTCCTCTGGGTGTTTTCTCCTCTAGAATAGCTGTTTAAGTGATTCCTGACTACTCAGATATGTACGAGGAAGTCTGTGCCCTGGGATGGGACTGAGACCTGTCTCTGAACCTGCCTATGTGAAGAATCTGAATAAGCAGCTTTACAGCCCATGCACTGTGCCTTATCTTGATTTTGAAGTAACAATCTGCATCTCTTCCCCAATCCCTTCTCCTAGGTATCATAGGCTGAGTGAGCTTGTGGAGCACGTGTTCCCACTTCTCGATAAAGAACAGAATTCTGCCTTTTTGTGCCCAGAGTTCAGCTCTTTCTGCTACTGGCGAGACCCAATCCCTCATGTGGACCTGGATGACCTGGCCTGAAGTGGCACCTGTGGCAGGGGTAATGGGGAGGTGTAGTCACTCTCCTCACAGCAGGGAAGGTGACCTATCCTGTGGACAAGGATCCAGGGCTGACAGTGGGGCACCTGCTTTCTAGAGCAGGGACAGGGCCCCTGGAGCTGGCACAGCCACCCTCCTTCACCTTCCTAGGCTATTGCTCAGCCCTCGGAAGGAGGAGAGAGGGGCTCAGCCTGAGTTAAAGCCCTTGTGCTCTGTCACACATGGGCCTTCACACGTGCTTCCTGCGGAGTTGTGTACTGGGCACTCCTTCAATTTTCGTAACTTAAAAGGAAGAAAACAGAAGTTAAAGAATGGACCAAAACGTTACACAAAGTAAAGTGTTAACAATTTCTACTGAGCAGTTGAGATTGTCTCTCTATAACCAGGGCTTTCTTCAGAGGGTCCGGTCCACTGAACTGCCACAGATCCAGTTGTGATGCTGGCTGAAACTATCTGTGAACATCTTTCCTCTGGGTTCCTCCATTTCTGCACATTGAAACAGAATAGCTGCTCGCTGTGCCAAGTTGGGTGGGCCCCCAGGGCTTATGCACCAGAGCCACTGAACCCAGACCCACCAACATGAACTTCTGGGGAGAAAATCCCCTTGGATAATCAGTTTCTTATCTATGACTACTCTATGGTGAGAGGCCTTTAAGTTATTTCTTAGACATAGCTGAAGAATAGATTTATATTTGATGTCTAGAATAATGTGGGATTTTGAGTTTCAAAACAAAGAACACCAACACAGAAATGCAAGTACACAGTTGCAGTGGGTCATGGGGATAGCCCTTTTCTCTGTCCTTGTGCCTATTGCCTGGCTTAGATGGGGCTTTAGGTATCTTGCTTTGGGACAGGATTTCTAAAATTCCATGCTTCAAATTAGTCAGGGAAGCACAATGAAGCTTGCATAAAGGCCACTGGCCGGTAGTTTTGGCTTTGTCATCACAACCCTATGTTAAATTCTATAAAAACCATGTGAGAAAGAGGTCTTGGAGCTCCTGTTGAGCAATCAGCCCTTCAGCAGTGACCCCAGACCAGCTTTCTAACTCCTCTGGCAGCTGGGGCACTTATGTGGTTGGCAAGTGCAGAGACTACCCTTTGAGACCCCATGGGGACAGAGAGATACTCATGCATTTGCACTAAAATATACATGGCAGCTGCATGGACTGGCCTGGTTGTAATGAGCTCGTATCAAATGTGGGAATAGAGAGCAGCAGGGAAGGATTGTGTGCCAGAAGCCCCTCTGGTATTGGTGATCAGCTGGGTGTTGTCAGTCACTGTGGTGTTAACATTGAGAGAACTGTTCAGGGCTTTCAGGGGACTTGAAATGGCCCCAGGTCAGAGCCCTCCGTTGAGGAAGATGCAGGAAGCAGTGTTTTCCTGAGCTGAGGGGGAGCTGCAGATGCTTTTAGGTAGTTTCATTTCCAACTCCGGGTGTCCCTGTCATCTTCTCGGGGAACTTCTCTTGTTTTAGTTTGCTTTACCCAAAATAATACTAATCTGGAGTTGGAGAAACGGGTGATTATTTTTCCAGATTGGAGAGTTGAAAGGCCCTGACTGATTGCAGCCTTTTTTTCCCTAGTGCTGTTGGGTATGGAGGCACTGTTGAAACCCCTTGAACACAGTTCTCAGTGGCAAACTCTGGAGGCACATATTCCTAGAGAAGAGATGACACAGGCTTTCTCCAGTGCAAAACCTCCCCTTTAAATAGTGCTAAGGACTAATTGTTTAATGAGTTTATTTATATATAGTAAATAGGAGAACTAGGTTATGTTTATATGAAGTTCTATCCAGTTAGTGAATTAAGATTTTAGTAAAATATCCATGCAGTTTTCTTATTTCCATAGATGCCACCAGTGTGTCCTTTCAACTGCCTTTGATTTAGAGGAAGAATGAGAGCTTTATGTGCTTAATCTGTGCTTAGTAGGACTTCTTTGCATATGTGTGGTACAGAAAATCTTAATATCCATCCTCTTTTTAGGTTGTCCTTCACAATTTTTGACTAGTTTGTTTTTCTTGACAAGCTCTTCTCATTGGATATACAGGCCTTCTGAGAGGATCCAACCTAGTATCTGGATCTCCCAGCCTGTGTTGAGGGTAGCTGGTTCTTCTGTCTCAATGTCCACTAGCCCTAGACTTTGTTGCTGCAGATTGATCCAGTGGGTACGTAGGCTAATGACCGTGAGTCTTTTTCCTTGTTTAAAGGAGTCCCTTTTGCTGAAAGTAGATGATTACTATTGCTGTAATGTTAAGAAAATATTAAGTTTGTGCTGAACATCCATTGCCATTTGGTACAAATGACATTTGTTCTTTCTGTGAAAGAGAGATGCCCTTGAGTGTGTTTGCACACAATCTCTTAGGATGGCGAGTTGAAGCATCAACTTCACGCTGGCTCAGTGACAAGCAACGTCACAAGGACAGCTGTAGGGAGATTGGGCTCTTCTAAGTCATTCTTGTCAGTTGCTCCATTGGTGACATGACCCCTTTCCCTCTTCCCACTTCAGTCTAACTTTAGTGTTTGCTCTGATATCATGTGTTAAAGCTTGTACTGCTGTGGAAGTTAATGTCTGCTCTCCGTCAGGCTCTGCGAGGTACATGTGTGGACTTGGAGCATGCACACTTAGCGCCATAATCAGTAATGTTTCACTGTGTTCAAACACATCTACATAAAGTTTTCATTTGGAAAAAGAAACCTATTAGTTTTATGTCCTAAAACAAAAGCTGCTAAAAATCATAGGGAAACCAACTGAGGAGGAAAGGTGACTAAGTGACTGAAACATGCTTCTGCCCTGAACAGCCCACTTGACTGTGGGCCTGCACACAGCCCTTCTCTAATTGCTTTGAAGGTGAAGCAAGGCCTTTGAGAGAAGAAATGGTTAGAAAAAACATTAAGCACTTTCTCTTTTTGCAAGTTGGTGAAAACAGATTCATCCAGGGAGCTTTATCTTTTCAAGTATCATATTCACTCTGGGAAACCTTGTTTTCCCATGTTTTAGAGCATGCTGGGTTTTATTTAAAACTGGTTAAAATAAATGTTATTTCCAGGTGGAAAATGACTTTTGGTTTGGTTTGAGGGTAAGAAAGGGAAGGGAAACTGCTCTTTAATTTAATAATTACGTTCAGCCAATGATGAAGTATTTGATTATTAGACAGAAATATCACTAATAAGTTTTCAGTTGTCTGAAATTAATTGTAAACATCAATACAGTACTCTTTAGTTATGGTAAAGACGTCTTAAGATGAATGGCTCATATTTTGGTGCAGTGTTTGATGTTCAAAACAAAATGTTACAACAATAAACAAACAAACTCTGAGTGCATTTGACTCTTTTCTTTCAAGGGACAGTTAAATCATATTCTCTATTCTTTTGCCAGAAATTGATAATTTCCATAAATTAACATTTTGATCTTTTCTGACACTTACACGATGTGTCTATGTGCTTATTTTTAAAAACTGATTCCAGAAGTGAAGCTACACTCATAGGAACTAACCTCTCTTGCTTTGTAGGTTCTGCCAGGAAGTGATTCATTCATACATATGTAATTTCTCTTGTAATCTGGCTGGTGGACATATCAGCCCTTTAGAGTCCCCTAGGAGTTCTACTCAGAGTCCTGAACACCCCACCTTTCATTAAACCCTTCCTCAGGATTTGCCACTTAGCAGTCCTGATGTTTTCATTAGATCAGCGGGAGTCAAAGTGATCTTTGACCAAAAGCCCACATCCCACAGATTAAATCCTTTTCATCCTCTCAGATTGCTGCAGGGCGGCACATGTTGGATCACGGTCCCTCCATCAGTGAGCTTTCAGGTATCAAAAAACTTGGTATTTAATTCCTCTTTACTATGATAAGAGGGCAGGGTGACAGGAACTATGAGTCTTTAGGGTATACTTTGGGACTGAAAATGGAAGAACTTAGAGACTGCAGCATCTCAAATTATAATGAGTTCAGAAATCTCCTAAGAGCTTGTTAAAGTGCAACACGTTTGAGGGTACCCAAGAGTCTGCATTTCTGGTTAGCTCCCAAGCTAACAAGTCGAGCTTTATTGCTGGTCTGGAGATCTCATTTTACTCAGCAAGGGTTAAATCAGCCTTAGATTTTACAGATAAAGAAGCTGAGGCCCACAGAAACTAATAGTTACTCCTTTGTAGGCATTCATTATATCATTTTGTGCTACTGTTGCTTTGTAAGAGCCTGTTAGCAGTTGGATGTCAGCTGCAGGCTGCATCTACCTGAAGCTGAAAATGTGGGCAGTCCAGTAGCAGAGCCGCAGTACTGATTTCTTCTTGGCAACATGAGGATGATCTGAAGAGCTGCACAGTGTGACTGTTACACCCAGTTAATTTCTTGTCATTATTGCATTTTCCCAAACCTCTTGAATTATTCTTGGAATTCCACAGGACTTCTTGGGCAATAATTAGACCACTTGAATGCATGACCCTGTGCACCATATGTGCCCAGACTGTTTTGGGTCAAATGCTAGTGCATTGAGCAAGATAGCTAACTATTCTGAATTACAAAGGTAGAGTGGATTAGTAATCTGTTAAATATGTTCCCTAACATCAGGAGAGGGAGCATTTTTTGGTACAGGAAATCTTATTTCACACAAAGCTAACAAACTCGGGGAAGTGATTATTTCTGAGCTGGTACAGATTCTGAACAGCACTGTCACCCTACTTGAAGGAGACAAGTAATTAGTCATCCTTCATGAAAAATGATGCATGGGGGGTTACTTCCTAACCTTTGAGGGTGAGATTGGAGAAAGCATCCCTATCATCTCTTTTCCTGTCAGTGACAGAACTCAGGAGAGGAACCAAAGAACTGGTATGTTGGCATGTTTTGTAATTACTGATTTCCAGGTGGCAAAAACTTAGGTAAAAAAAAAAATTACTAGAAGGCCAAAGAATTAGAGGATAGAGCACTTGCCTGGCATGTATAAGATTCTGTTCTTTCCCCAGCAAAAAAAAAAAAAAACAGACATACATTCACACACTCTCAGGGAATTTGATTATAAAGGAAATGGTTTGCCCAGAACAGCTCCAGGTCCCTTAAGTAAGGGGTCAGCGGACATCCTTCCCTAAGCTTAGAGGCCCATCTCAATTGAAGTTCTGTCACATCCTACACCCAGTGGAGTTTGCATGTGTCCTTTTTTCCTTCCCATCTTAGGAAGGCATAAGAAAAACATGAATGTTTAGAAAATGGATATGGGCAAAGCCATTTTCAGATCTACAGGTATGGACTTAGTCATGTCTCTGACCACAAGATACCCCTTTCAAACTGCAGATAATTTGTGGGAAACTATTTAAAATATGGTAGTCATTGGGAAAGCTAAGTAATGTTGCTAATCTAGAAATAATTTCAAATACAAAGTCCATTGATTTGCATTCTTTAATGAGGCCATTTGGTAGTGTTCCATGTGGGGGGAAAGTGTTTCATTTAAGACTTGAGTACCTGGACCTTTTTCTCTGCAACAACTCTTTGATTTCAGAAGTTATAGCCTCAGCTGGGGGTGTCATGGCACACATTCGTAGTTCCAGCCAATCAGGAGGCTGATTGGGAGAGTGGCTTGTGCCCAAGAATTCAGAGCCAACTTGGACGACATAGCAAAAACCCCTTAAAAATTTTTTTAAAGTCATAACCACCTTAGGTTTGATGAAGCCCTAGGATTTGGTTTGTACCTCTCATGCACAGCTTCAAGGGTATTGACTTCTTGAAGGGCCATGCTCTGAAACTCTGCCCTACCCCCCACCACAGCGTTTGAGCTTTCTTGACCCTGTTGTTTTCCATCTGAATGAAAAGACAGGCTCTTCCCTTATAATCTTGCTGTTACATGTGGTAGGGTCTAGCTTTCATCTCATTTTATCTTGAAATAAATGCAGGCTCCTGCTATAATTATGCTGCTTTGCCTGTCTTAGATGCACAGAGCTGAAATGCATGTATTTTGGTAAATGAGTCAAGTTGCACTGAGGATGACTAAGTTGTGTGTGATGCACTAGAAGCAGCCTGTGGAAGAGTAGACAATGCAGTTGTTACCTACCTTCTCTCTGGTTACTGCTTTTCCATTGAGTGTTTGCCTCCTTTGGCACTGAAGTCTTTAGAAGGGGAGTGTGAGGAAAGAGGGTGTAAGCATGTGTGCGCCAACTGGGTTTTCCTGAAAACACTCCACTGCTTTGGGGTTTTTTTTCCATGAGACATTTCTAGGATAGCCAAGGATACACTGACAGCTGCTTTTAGCCAATTCACCAGCTGCAGAAACAAGGGGAGAGAACAGCCATTCTTCCTCCCTTTCCTGGACAGAGGTCTGAATTATAAAATAGTCAGCAGCAAACTTTGAGTGCTAGTTCACTTCTCCCCAGCTGCAGTAAGGGATGAGTGCAGTGGCCACCCTGTAATTTTCTTTGCAAACAGAGCTTGAAACACAAGGCATTTTTATAGCTCAAGAGCCTCTTCTGCCAGCTCAGTGCAGGCCAAGGACACTAAAGCTCTTGTTTCTCTCGTGTGCACCTTCCCCTGGCGTACTTGACTGATGAAAACATCTTCCCAACCTGGTTAGCGGAATCCACATTGTGCTAAAGGGTCTGGTGTGCCTACAGGTTTCTGGGGCTGCTAATGAAGTATTACTGCGCCTGGGCCTAGAACAGTGTGTGCTTGCTTTGGGAAGATGCCCACCTTCTCAGATGATCTCAGCTTTCAGAAGTGATCAGTTTTGTGTTGAGCCTCTTGTTGCTTAGGAACCTTAAAGAGTTCATAAGCTATGTCTTGCCAGTAATCTGTGCAATGAAGCAGTGAGGATTTGGTCTCAAATCCTGGGACCAAATCTGCTGATTATATGTGAGTTTCCAGTCTTCCGTGGAAGAGCCCTTCTTTAGCTGTGGGATCATGGCGAACCCAGACCTCCAAGCACAGCTAGTCTGCCTTTACAAGCCAAAGACAAAACCCAGGCATACAGCCTGGTTGCTCATAGATAAGTTTTATAGTAGAGACTAATTTATGCAAGATCTTTCTACAGCCATTTAAAAAAAAAAAAAAAGTCAATTGCCTTTCTACAGTTTGCTTTTTAGCAGTAACTCCCAATCCGTAAGGCACCAGACTTAGAGAAGTAACTCAAAGTGGTTTTACATATTTATTGACACTCCCTGTCTTTGCACTTCAGTTGCACATGTCATCTAAGGAGCCCAACAAGTTTCATAAATAGTGTGTGGCACATCCCCTTTTGCAGTGGGGCCAGGGCCCAGTAAGCAGGGATGAGTCCCAGGCCATGGCAGTTAGCCAGGCAGGGAACAACCCAAACTGAACTCTGGGTCCCTGTACCGGGTGGCATGGGCCACGTTAGCACTTCAGTGTTTAAACTTTTCTCCCGCGTGCAGTTTATGGAGGAGGAGACTGCTGGCTACCCACCACCACCTCCGCGCCCCCCCACCTTCAGCCAGCTGCAGTTCCTCTCTAGCAGCAAGGCACCATCCTGCAGCCCTGCCCTCTGGGAAGCAGTGTAAACCTCCACAGGTAGCACCAGGTGTGTTCCCCAGGAACCTCTACGCGGAGCTGGAGGCCGGGAAGATGCAAGAGGGGAGCCGGATTGCAGGCAAGGGGGCTTTCCAAGTCTTCCAGTTGTCCAGTTAGAGTGACAGAAAAATAGGTGAACTCCTCACTACCTGTCTGCAAACTCTAAGGTGTGGTGGCCCAACAGCGAGGTAAGGCCTTTATCTTAGGGGCAGGTGGAAGGATGTATGCAGAAAACTCTAGATCAGTGCTCCAGTTACATACATAAACTGAATATATTAAAGCTTCAGAGTTTTTACAACTATCTCTCCCCTCTCCCTGGCCACCCTAGAGGTGGGAAAGGAAAGGATATAAGAAAACCCCACTAAAGGTGGAGTACATTTCATCAAAGTCTGTATGGGCTAACCTGCCCCCAGTCACCACCACATTGACACCGTCTCCAGCCTTCAAATGCACAACAAGGTGGAAGGCCCCTGGGCCGCCGCAAGTGTGCACAGCCCCTGGGGGTCGGTGGTACTCCAGGAATTCTCTCTTGTACCCGGCTGTGTGCAGCTGGGCCACACTGGCATTGGAGACTGAGAGGACGGCTTCCACGTAGGCATCCCGCTCAGGGGTGAGAGTGGCTGTGATCAGGTAGCGCCCATCGTAAGGAGCTGTGAAGATCCCTAGGGGGAGGAAGGCAGACAGGTGAGCTCATGTGACTCCTTCAAGGCATGTGATGCTGCTGCACAGTCTCCCATGAACTGATCAGAAACTTAAAAAAGCCTGGGGTACCCGGAGTTCTGTTTCTCCAAGTTCTGCAGGGGGCTTCTATGCCC